AGTGGTCTGAACCCATAGAGTCCATAGGGGAAATCCAGCTCAAATAGTCCCTGAAACCTGTCATGGGACCCAGCATTGAAGGAACAACTGAGCCCAACAGCAGGGAGGAAGAACCATAGCCTGAGCCCACAGGAAATAGATGAATACTTGCAAAAATGCAAAATACTCATCTTAACAAAAGAAGTACTAGACTATTTAAATAATACAATATAAAGGGAAAAAAAGAACAGAAAAGAAATTGAACCAACCATAAATGAATTCTCAAAGAAAAAACTCCAGGACCAAGTGGATTAGCAAGGGAATTCTATCAAACATTTAAAGAACAATTAGTTTTAGTACCATATAAACTGTTTGCAATAATAAGAAAAAAAGAAGGCACCCTTCCAATCTCTTTGTAAAATATAAATATAGTCTTGATACCCAAACCAAGAAGAGACAAAGCAGAAAAAAACCCTACAGACCAATACCCCTAATGAATTTTTGTTGTTCGGTTGTTTTTCAGTCATTTTTGACTCTTTGTGACACCATCTGGGGTTTTCTTGGCAAAGATACTGGAGTGGTTTACCATTTTTTTCTTCAGCTCATTTTACAAACGAGGAACTGAGACAAACAGGATTAAGTGACTTGCCCACGGTCACACAGATAAGTAAGTGTCTGAGACTGATTTGAACTCATGACAATAAGTCTTTCTGATTCCAAGTCCAGTGCTCTATCCACTGAACCATCTAGCTGCCTCCTAATGAATACTGATCTAAAACTTTTAAATAAAATAATAGCAAGCAGACTAAAATAATATTATACAACAGGCTTTCTAAGTATCAGAGAGATTATATACTATTAGCAGGTTGGATTTATGCCAATAATGAAGGATTGGTACCACACAAGGAAGATTATAAATATATTAAATCATGTTAATAATGTAAATAATAAAAAACATGATTATATGAATAGATGCTTAAAAAAGCTTTTGACAAAATTCAACACTCATTTCTATTAAAACTTTAGAAAGCATGGGAATAAATCGACTTTTCCTTAATATAAAAAATAGTATTTTTTCTAAATCTAGGAGCAATTATGCTATGGAGAAAAATTAGAGGTCTTTCTAATCAGATCAGGGTGAAGCAAGGATGTCCATTATTAACATTAGTGTTTAATAAAGTACTAGAAATGTTAGCTATAGCAGTAAGACAAGAAAAAGAGGGATCAATTACTGGAAAAGATTAGGCATACACCATATACAAGAAAACAAGCACAGGAACAGTGTTTGATAAGCTCAAAGATCACAGTTACTAGGGGAAAGACTCACTATTTGATAAAAACTGCCAGAAAAACTGGACAGCAATCTGGCAGAAATTAGGTTTGGACTGTCACCTTACACCACACATGAAGATAAGCTCCACATTGATAAATGACCTAGATATAAAAGGTCACATTAGAAAAAAAAAATTTGAGAGCAAGGGAGAAATTCCTTTTCACTCTGTAAAGAGGGGAACAGTTCATAACTAAAAAAGTGATAGGGAAGCTCATACAAGATAAAATGGATTATCTTGATTATATAAAATTAAAAGGTAGAAAGCAAGCAATCTAATGTTATAAAATTTAGAAGGGAAACCAATAACTTGGAAAAAAATCTTTCCAAAAATTTCTCTCATTTCCAAGATAGATAAGGAATTGATTCAAATTTATAAAACTAATAGCTATTAACCAATAGATAATTGGTCAAAGGATATGAATAATTTTCAAAAGAACATATTAAAAGCTATCAACAAAAATGTGGGAAAATGTTTCAAATTGTTAATAATCAGATAAATACGAATTAAAGCAACTTTGAGGTTCTATCTCACACTTATCAGACTGGCAAAGATGACAGAAGAGGAATATGACAAATATTGGGAGGCTGTGGGAAAACAGGTTCACTCAGGTACTGTTAGTGGAGCTGAGAATTGTTCCAGTCATTCTTAAAGGCAATTTGGAACTATGTCCAGGCAGTTACCAAAATAAGCACACCCTGTGTTCCTACTATATCACTAATAGGCCTATACTAAACCTTCCCCCAAAAAAATCAAAGAAAGAAGAAAAGGATCTATGCATACAAAAATATTTATAGCATCTATTATTGTGGTAGCCAAATTGGAAACCAAGGAAGTGCTATTGGGGAATGGCTAGAAAAATTTCAGTATGTGATTGTAACAGAATATTGCCATAAAAGTAATGAAATGGTCAGTTTCTAAGGAAACTGGGAAAAATTCTATGAATTGATGCAAAGTGAGCAGAAATAGAACAATGATAACAGCATTGTAGACAAAAGCAACCTTTTGAAATACTTTAGAATTCTGATGAACACGATGAAAACTTGCAAGTCAAAAAGAACGAAGATGAAACATTCCATTTATCTCCTGAGACAGAAGTGATGAATCTAAAATGTGTAAAGAGACATGTATTTCTGGACATGACAACTATGGAAATTTGTTTTGATGGACTCTGCAGCTATAGACTGAGGGTTTTATTTTTCAATTATTTGTTTTTAAATTTGTTCAATGAGGGTGAAGAGGTAGGATTAATTTTGAAAATGCTTGTTAGATGTAAAATGGATAATTTCAATTACATTAAATTTGTATACAAATAAAACCAATGTAGCCAAGATTAGAAGGAAATCAGAAAGTTGGGAAGAGGGGAATTTTTATAGATAGTTTCTTGGATAAAGGCCTCATATCAAATATATACAGAACTTTAATAAATTTATAAGAAAGAGTCATTCTCCAATTGATAAATTGTCAAAGGATATGAACGGGCAGTTTTTGGAAGAAGAAATCAAAGCTCTATGTAGTCACATGAAAAAAATTCTCTAAATCATTATTGATTAGAGGAATGCAAATTTAAAACTCTGAGATACCATTTCACACCTATCAGATTGGCTAAAATGATAGAAGGGGAAAATGACAAATGTTGGAGGCAACGTGGAAAAATTGGGACACTAATATAAACTGCTGGTGGAGCTGTGAGCTGATCTGCCCATTTTAGAGAGAAATATGGAATTATGCTCAAAGACATAAAACTGTGTATGACCCAGGAATACCACTATTAGGTCTATTTCCCAAGGTGATCAGAAAAAAAGGAAAAGAACTTATATGTTCTAAAATATTTTTAGCAGCTCTCTTTGTGGTGACAAAGAACTGGAAATTGAGGGGATGCCCATCAGTTGGGGAACGGCTGAGTAAGTTGTGGTATATGATTGTGATGGAATATTACTGTGCTGTAAGAAATGAATAGCAGGTTGATTTTAGAAAAACTTGGAAAAACCTGCATGAAATAATGAAGAATGAAATTAGCAGAATCAAGAGAACACTGTGTACAGTGACAGGAATGTTATTCCAAGAGTAACTATGAATGACTACACTATTCTGGGTAATATGAATATTCAAATCAACTACAAAGGACCTATGAAGATACCATCCACATCCAGAGAAATAACTGATACATGGAAGTATAGACTGTATGGTTTTTCTCTCTCACATACACATACACATACACATACACACATGTGTTTGTATGAAATGTTGGCCTTCTCTAGTTGGGAGGGAGGGAAGAAAACAACTTGGAACTCAAAATGAAGTAGAAAAATAGAAGAAATATTTTTAAAAAAGGTTTCTTAGTTGAAAAAAAGAATTGACATTCTAAAAGACCCAAAAGGAAACCATTCAAATGAGAACTAAAAAGTAGAATGTTTGAAGAGATCAATTGATAGAAAGGAATCTTACCAACCAACTTAGATTGAACAGGAGTAGGTAACAAAGGATGAATATGTGTGGTCTGATCTTGCAGAAATAGTGTCATAAGAAATTAACATGATAGAATATAAGCTCCTTGAGGGCAGGGGCTATTTCATTTTTGTCTTTATATCCCTATGGACTACCATAGTTCCTGGTATACAGTAGCCAATTCATAAATGCTTGCTGATTGCTTGAGGTTGATTGCAGCAACAAAGAACATTGGTCTAATAAAAGTAAGTGGCTCAGATTATGGCAGGATCAGGAAGCCAAAAGTTGAATTTATTTGAGGAAAGCTATTTCAGTTGTACCTGCACAAGAAAGGGAAAGTGAAGGACTGTACAATTACCTCGTGATTTGTATCCTTATAGAGAGAAAGTCTGATAATTCGTCTCCCAAACCTGCACTTCCTTTATTAATTATATCTACTTCCTATTCACTGTAATACAATGTGTAATGATAGGATTCATTTCTTTCATCTATCTTGTTGATTAATTCAGGAAATCACATTTTTAATATAGCTAATGGTCTTAAGGTCATTCATGGAGATGGTTGGAAAAAATACTGCATTTACCATGCTGTAGTCAATACTGGGTACAATATCGGTCTAGATTCTTCCCTAAATAAATATATTAGAAAGAATGTCGGCCCGAAAAATGCGGTTGTCCAAATTGTTACGAATTCTATTTCACATCATACATAAAGCAAGACTAATTCTTCTAGGTCTTGGTTTATTCAATTCACTTAAGTTGATGTTAATTAGGCTCCACCTATGTGCGAGGGACTGTACTAGGTGACAGCTATATAAAGACCACAGTCCTGCATTCAAGGAGCTTACAAATGAGATAATACACAGAAAGTGATTCACAAACCTCAAAATAATATATAAATGTGAGCTATTGTTATTATTAAATATAAATTTTATTGAGAAGATAATGGTTACTTTATTCTGCTACTGACATAGGCCATGATGAACCAGGATGACTGAATTTCTCATCCCTAGACCACTTCCCTGTAATCGGATAGCAAGACTTTGGCTTTCTTTCCCACATCACCGGCATCTAACTATTTGTCCCTGGTCCTGAGAATTGGTAAAGATCGATTAGAAACTTAAACATTATAAGTTCACAGAATTAGAATTGGAAGGGACTTTAAAAGAGCCACTTCACCCAACTCTGCCCTTTTACGCATGAGGAACGGTGACCTAGACAGGTTCCATTAACTTCCTCTTACCGGTTTACATTCCTTGCATTTGACGGCATAAGCAAATCCAGTATGCATCTGGACACTTTCCTTACAGTCATTCAAATCTTTTGACTTAGTGACATGGGCCAAGTTGTATTTTTTGTCTTCTTTAATAAAGTACGTTGTATTACAGCGACCACTAATTCCAATCTGCCAAAATGAGAAAAATGGAAAAGATGATCAGCTTGAACTAAACACACAATAAAACACCCAGATTTAGAAGAGGAAGGAATCTTAGAGATCACATAGTTCAATCCTTTTACTCACTCAATTCACCTAATAAGCATTTATTAAGCACCTGCTATGTACCAGCCAGTTGTGCTAAGCACTGGGGATACAAAGAAAGGCAGAAACACAGTGCCTGCCTTGAAGGAACTCATATTCTAATGGGGGAGACAAAATACAGTTATTATGGATATAAGATATTAATAAAAAATAAAAGGAAGGTCATCTTGAAGGCACTAGCATGGGGAGAGAGGGGGGAGAGCAGAAAGATCTACAGAAGGTGGGTTGGATTCATTCTTGAAGATCCATTGCAAGTCATTGTGCTCATTAGGGGCAGGTAGGTGGCGCCATAGTGCATAGAGCACTGGGCTTGGAATCCGGAAGACTCGCCTTCATGAGTTCAAATCCAGCCTCAGACACTTAATAGCTGTGTGACCGTGGGCAAGTCACTTAGCCCCATTTGCCTCAGTTTCCTCATCTGTAAAATTAGCTGGAGAAGGAAATGACAAACCACTGCAGTATCTCTGCCAAGAAGACCCAAAATAGGGTCACAAAGAATCTGATGAGACTGAAACAACTGAATAACAACAAAGTAGAGACTGGATGACCACTTCTCAAGTATGTTATAGTAAGCTTCCTTTCAAGCACGAGTTAAACCAGATGGCCACTGAGGTCCCTTCCACCTCTCAAATGCTCTGACTCTATAATTTTGCTGGAGGCAGAATTAGAACCCTGGTCTTCTGACTTTAAGCCAATGACTTAATGTATTGTCATTTTTGTGGAATCAAAATGTCTCTTATTTCAGAAAACTATGAAATGATAAGATTTAGAGCTGGAAGAAACCTTAGAAGCCACTGGCTTCAAACCTCTCTTTCCCCCCCCCCCTTTTTCTTGTTTCGTTTTTTAATTCTGAAGATCTGGGGGGGAAGCATTTCAATTTATACAGGTGACCACCCAAAGAAGATTTTGTGTGAAACACAGGACCCAGGGGATCTTAGGGTGAAACCAAGCAGGTGAATCACCATTCTACATCACATGCTTTTGTTCAGAAGTATTTAACAAATTCTATGTTACTTTAAAAACTGTTCTGCTTGCCTGTGTTTCCTTTTGAACTTTCTTCTGCTCTCTCTTGCATATTTTTAGAAATGCTTCCATGTTCCCCCCAACCACCTTATCTTTTTTTTTTGCATTATTATTGCTGATTCTAATCAATTTGGGCAATTTCCATTTATAATTTAGATAATGTATAATTTTTTGAAATGTAGTCCCCAGGTTTTCCAGAAATCTAGTAATTCTTAAATTCTCTCTCTCTGACTCTGTTTTCCAGATCAGTTTTTTATATTACTATCTTACATTTTCTTCTATGTTTTTCAGTCTTTTGATTTTGTTCTGATATATCTTACTATCTCAGGGAATCATTGATTTCTGTTTATCTATTCACATTTTCAGAGCAGCTAAGTGGCACAGTGGAGAGAGTGCCTGGGATTAGGAAGACTTGAGTTCAAATCTGACCTCAGATATTTACTAGCTGTGTGACCCTGGACAAGTCACTTAACTGTTTGGCTCAGTTTCCTCATCTGTAAAATGAGCTGGGGAAGGAAATGGCAAACCACTCCAGTATCTTTGTCAAGAAATTCCCTCTGCCCCCAAAAAGGTGGTCACAAAGAGTAGTTTTGAGACATCTATCACTTGGATAAGGTTTTCTCTTCTAAGCTATTTAGTCTCCTTCTAATTTTTTCCACCAGAGTTATTTCATTTTTCTCTCATTGCATTTCCTCTAGGGATTCTAGTAGTCCTTATGGATAACCAACTTTGCTTTTTTCTTGGAGTCCCTACTGGAAGTGGTTATGCACAATAGCTTTTTACACCAATTGGTGTCCTAATCATCATTTGAACTTTAGCTCTTAAATTGGGGCTTCATGCCATGGCCTGGCTCCGCCAACTGCTAGCCTTTTGGGTGGGGTAATTGGCCCTGCTTAGGTTTATCCTGGATCACCTTTATTCCTATGGTGACCGCTGCCTCTCATGGTTAGTTCTCTCCCCCTATCTTTGAGATTCAGTGATTAATGTTCAGAGTGCTCTTTGGCAACCCAAGAGAGAGGGTTAGGGATCTCAGAGCTCCTGAGTGCCGAGGCTGTCCCAGTCCTGACACTACCATGCTTATACCGTTCCCTGCTGTCCCCTGGGCTCACAAGGTCCCAAGCCTGAGACTTTTGGGTCTCTCTGGGAATCTCAGAGTTTCTGGGGATCTCTCCAGGGAGTGCTCTGCTCTTGCTGCTTGGTTACAAAGAACCCTTCAGGCTATACGTGTCTCTGGTCTCACTGGGAGGGCATTAGCTTATTTACCTGTCTTGGCCCTGGCTGTGGGCTTCTGGTTAGCTTTTCGTGTAGCAGTAGTAGAAGACAGAAGAAGTCCCTTACTGTAACTTCCTAATGGATTTCTTTTTTTTCTTTCTTTTCTTTTTTTTTTTTAGGCAATTGGGGTTAAGTGACTTGTCCAGGGTCACACACCTAGTAAGTGCCAAGTGTTTGGTCTGAGGCCAGATTTGAACTCAGGTCCTCCTGACTTCAGGGCCGGTGCTCTATCCATTGCACCACCTAGCTGCCCCCTCCTAATGGATTTCCTGATCAATATTTGGTCGGGTAAAAATTCAAGATTTTTGTTAGGGTTGGAATATGGGAACTCATCAACCTACCTCTCTTTAGGTACTCATCTTGGCCAGAAATCAAACCCACACCACTTCCACCCCCTCTTCAGTTTACACCAAAAAGGAAAATGAGGCACGTAGAGATTAAGTGATTTACCCAGAGTCACACAGCTAGTAAGTTTCAGAGGTGGAATTAGAACCCAAGTCTTTCTGACCCCACATTCAGGGCCCTATCCATTATGCCACAATATTTCTCAGTTAGGAAATGCCATGATTTAACTGCTTCCAAGCCCAGTTTTTGGTATTATTTAAAAATAAAAGTCTAACACTATTCACACCAAGAAATCACCTGGGATTTCATAGGCTCAGTATGTGCTACCTTTGCCATTGGCGTGGAAAAGAGGATGAAGTGAACTTCTGGCCAATTCCAGGGGAAAAAAGGAACAGGGGCCCTTGTTTTTGTAATTAATTCCCTGATTTGCCCTAGGGGTTGGCAATGTGTTTGAGAAGATCTGGCTACCCAGCGACAGCCCGCCTACAGATATGTGGATAATAGCCCACATTTACAAAGTGATCTGAAGCTGGCAAAGCACTTTACAGATATTATTTCATCCTCATGACAGCCCAAGAATGCTGATCGATACAATGGCAGAGGACCACTGATGGAGGGTGCTGACCACTGCCTGACAGCAAAGTGTTGGGCTCAGGGGGGAAAATGAAATATGCATTTGAGGATATGACAAGGGTCACACCTGTTTGCTTGATTATGCATATTTATTTATAAGAGTTTTGTTTGTCTTTAAAATGGAGGAGAGGGAGGAAAAGGAAAAAAAATAAATTTTTGTTAATTGAAAGAAATTTAATTTAAAAGTATTTGTCATAAAGACTGGATCTCTGGGAGTTGAGAGAATTACCAGGAGGAAATCCCTGCAATGTTCAAAATAAGACAAATCAATTCAAATATATTTTTTAGAAGTTCAAAAAAAAGATCTGGCTTCAGTTAGGCCACAAGTTCTGCTATTTGGACAATGCACTCACCTTGGGCAAGCCATAGGTGTTTTGTGCCTTTTTGATAGTCACTTCCAACACGTTCAGGATACCTTTATAGATACTCAGAGCATTCTCTGACACTGATTCTGGAGTGTATATATCTCCAACGTGGCCCTCGCTGTATTAGAACTTGACAGACTGGGTAAGCTGGGATGCCAGGACCTCTGTGAGCTTTGGCGAGTAGACAAATGTATCTTTTGGCCATTCACCAGTATAGTCAGCCACAATAGCTGAGCCAATCTGGAAAATAGAGCGTGTTTGTGGGACTCCTTGTCCTGGAAAGGTTTTAGAATATCAGAACATTTGCCAAGGGTATTTGCTCATATTCTATCTCCCTCCCACCCACACACGCACCCCCCCTTTTTTTTCTCCAAGAATGTGTCTTCCTGTCTCATCCAGGCTGGAAGTGAAGGGGCTACTCACAGGCTGTCTCTCACTGATCTGCACAGAACCTTTGACCTGCTGTGTTTTAGACCTAGTCTGGTTTGTCTCTTCTTAGACAACATGGTAATGTCCCATTCTTCCCCCATTCCCAGGGAATTAACATTCCCATGTTAATGCTGAGATTGGCATAAATTTAAACTAAGAATTTAGCCACAGACCTCCTGAACTCAAGAGATCCACCCACCTCAGCCTCCCTGGCAACAAGGGTGACAAGCCTGAGCCACTGTTCCTGGCTTGCAACCACTATTCCTCTGCTAAACAATTCCGTTTAGAGATTGGTAAACGTGAAAAGGAAAAAAGAGAGGAAGAGAAGAAGGAAAGAAGAAAGGAAGGAGAGGTAAGGAATAGAGGGAGGGAAGAGAAAAAGAAGGAAGGAAGGAAAGAAGCAAGCAAGGAAGAAAGGAAGCATAAAGGTATTCACTAGATTACCAAAGATGTAGTAGCCACCAGTGACCAGCAGAAGGTGCTCTAGTTTTAGCCTGAGTATCATCATCATCATTGAAGAAAAGCCAAGGAATTCAGACCCTCCAAAATAGTCCCAACTACCAGCAGGTTTAGACTAGTTCTCCACCACCAGAAGAAGAAGAAGAAGAAGAAAGAAGAAGAAGAAGAAGAAGAAGAAGAAGAAGAAGAGAAGAAGAAGAAGAAGAAGAAGAAGAAGAAGAAGAAGAAGATCATCCTGAGTTTCTGGGTGATGGAAAAATCCAAATGGTTCTGGGTGATGGAAAAATCCAAATGGCCTGAATTTTATCCATCAGTTTCTGAGGTTGATTGTCCTTCTACTCAAAATGGACCTTAACGTTTCACCTTCATGTCTCTTTACTCCCAATCTCATCATACAAGGATGCTTCAAGATCATATGTCCCATATTAGTCATTTTGTACAAGAAAACAAAGAAAAGAATGAAAGAAAGACAATGACTAACGTGGAAATGTTTTACATGATTGCACGTGTATAACCTATATCTGATTGCTTATTGTCTGAGGGAGGGGGAAGGGGAAGGATGGAGAGACAAAATTTGGAAATCAAAACTTTAAAAAATAGTTTTAACATGTAATTGGGGAAATATCATATATGTTTTAAATGATATTAATACTTTAAAATATTTTAATAAACTGTAAACATGCCTGGGAAAGTTTTTTTTAAAATGATGACATACCCCTTACAAAAGTGTAAATGGAAACAACCACAAAAACAATAAAAACCAAACTCATTCAGACTATAATTATAATGACCTGAAGAGGAGTTAAGAAAATTCACTTCTCTCTCCATCTCTGTCTCTGTCTCTCTCTGTGTCTCTCTGTCTCTCTGTCTCTCTCTCTATCTCTCTCTCTCTCTCTCTCTCTGTTTCTCTCTCTCTGTCTCTCTCTGTCTCTGTCTCTCTCTCTCTCTCTCTCTCTCTCTCTCTCTCTCTCTCTCTGTTTCTCTCTCTCTCTGTCTCTCTCTCTGTCTCTCTTCTTCCCAGAAGTAACTATGGGTGTGGAATATTGCATACACAATCAGGCTTAATGAATTATTGATTAGTTTAGCTGAAATGCAGAGGCAGAGAGCAAGAGAAAAGTTTTGCCTAAGGGACATTGGAGGGGGGCATCCTTCTTTCATAACATTTCATTCCTCTTATATTTCTTTCTCCCTTCCCTTGTTTCATCCCACCAATGCATGCCCAGCTACTCTCTGTCTCTTGCAGCCTATGAATACGACTGAAAGCACTGAGTTGGACATTTCCATTTAATCTCTTTGCTGAGTCATTCATACAGGACTCAGGCAGGTCTGGCCTCTGACCTGAAAGGCCACATGATCTAAAACAGGAGTCCATGGACCTCCAAAGGGTGAGTGGACAGATTTCAGGGGTTCTGTGAACTTGAATAGGGAAAAATGACTTCTTTATCTTTACTAACCAGTAACTGAAATGAAGCATTTTCTTCTATTACTAATTTTCTAGGAGGAGTCCCTAGATTTATCAGAATGCCAAAAGGGTACGTGATGCAGAAAAAGTTAGAAACCCTCATCTAAAGGAGATAGAACAGACCATTCCAAGCTCACATTCCTATCGCACTCCCACTACCCTGTGGGCTACAATTATTAAGCACTTGAGAAAACAGAGGTCAGCAGGTTACACTTTGTCTGGCTCATAGTTTTATGTGTCTCAGAGAGGATTTGAACCCAGCACTTGCCTACTCTGTATATATACACATATATGTGTTTCTCTGTTGCTGAAGCAAATTCTGACAGTGTTCCTTAAATTTCAGTGCCCTGAGGCTAAACCCTGGTTGTGTGTCCTAGTTTTGGTTCCATAAATCAACCAAGCCTTCTGATTGCCTCTAGAACTGGAGCTGAATGAATCTTCTAGACTTGAGAGGACCTTGGGCATGTACTGAACTGGCCTCCAGGGCAGGAGGGATGGAACTAGAGTGGACTATTTTTCCTTTTTCATTTGACATTTGTAAACCACTACTCCATCCCAATCCATTTCTCATGACTCAAAAAGTCTATACAATTTAATTAACTAAGCTCTTAGATACTTAAGTGGATCTGTGATCTCATTGATTTGGCTATTTTTTCCAACAATTCAGAGTGCAGTCCATCTTTATGGATTACCATAATCAAATAATTCAGCACCAGGTGTTCAATCTACTGGTAATTTTACCTTATTGCCTAGGGCCTCCTTGAAACTTTTCCAGTGTGGTAGAACCTGCCAATCTTTTTTTTTTTAATTTTCAAGGGTTTTGGGGGGGGTTTTGGAGGAGAGGGGGTTGGAATGAAGTTAGGGTGAATCTATTGCCAGTGATAGCAGAGTGTTAAAATTAAGTAATATACATCACCAGAAAATATTAATATCAGTACTATTAATTACCAATTAATTACAATTATATATTAATATCTATATTTAGTGGAGAATGCATTTCTTTGCAGAATTATGAAGACAGAATGTCTAATGTGTATGTATCATTTGAAATCATATGTCTTAAGAAATAATGACCAGAAATTAACTGTGAAGTTAGTCAAACTCAACTAATTCTGCTATTTCTTCCTGATTGTTTCCTGTTTATAGAATGAATTGACTAAATAATCTCAAACTTAGAGAATTTTAGAATGTAGAACTGATCTGGTAATGAATAGCTGTGCACTTAAAATCATGCTCTATTGTCTCCCTGAGCACAAAGCAAAAGAAACAGCTCAAGTTCAAAGTTAGCTTGACTTGAGAATTATCTGCCGAGCGTGTCAAATAGAATTTAGGAGACTGTATCCATCATCATCATCATCATCATCATCACCACCATCATCATCATCATTATCATTATCATCACCATCATCATCATCATCACCATCATCATCATCATCATCATCATCATCACCATCATCATCATCATCATCATCATCATCATCACCATCATCACCATCACCATCATCATCATCACCATCACCATCACCATCATCATCATCATCATCACCATCATCATCATCATCATCAACATCACCATCATCATCATCAACATCACCATCATCATCATCATCATCATCACCATCACCATCATCATCATCATCATCATCACCATCACCATCACATCATCATCATCATCATCATCATCATCATCACCATCACCATCACCATCACCATCATCATCATCATCATCACCATCATCATCATCATCATCATCATCATCACCATCATCACCATCATCATCACCATCATCATCATCATCATCACCACCATCATCTCCATCAACAACAACAGTAACACTGGCAATAACAATGATGATGGCAATGCTGATGATGCTGCATTCTATACAAGTAAGCAAAACATAAGAGAGAAACTTGAGTATTGCTTCAAGCCTTGAAAAACGTCTTCCTTCTAGCAAGGTAAAATCAACTTTCCAATTGGATATGTTTTCTTACCTTCATAACTGGGAATTTGAGTTTTTTACCACTGACTTCAACTTCACTTTTCAGGCTTACCCCAGCTCTTCCCAATCCCTTTTCAGGTAGTCCACTTAAAAGGATGCTTTCATAGTTGTAGATATACTTCTTACCCACTTGGAAGTTGGGTTCTGAAAAAATAAAATACAGTTCTGTCATTGGGATAAAGTTCAGTTCTACTTACTACAACTGGAGTAACATCTTTAAGGAATGGACATTCTCTTATTCCTCATAACAAAGAAAGAAACATTTATTAAGAACCTACTATGTGCTGGGCACTGTGCTAGGTACTTAGCTGTTAAAAAAAAAACAGGGCTCATTTTTAATATTCTGCGCATCTTGCCATTGTAATCCCATTCGAATATTCAAATTCTACTACACCTTCTACTTTATTGAGCAGCTAGGTGGCGTCATAGTGCATAGAGCGAAGGGCCTGAAGTCAAGAAGACTCATGTTCCTGAGTTCAAATACGGCCTCAGACATTTATTAGCTCTGTGACCTTGAGCAAGTCACTGAACCCTGTTTGTCTCAGTTTCTTCATCTGTAAAACAAGCTGAAGAAGGAAATGGTAAGCCACTCCAGTATCTTTGCCAAGAAAACCCCAGATGGGGTCATGAAGAGTCAGACACCACTGAACAACTACTTTATTATGATTTAGAATGGAGCTGTAATTCTAATTGAGATAGGAATAATACTTACCATAATTAACTTGTTGACTCCATGAAAGCCCTGAAAGACAGGAAATACTGCAATTCAGTGAAAATAAAAGGAATCATTTATTTGCTAGAACATGTTAGGGAATGACTTACTAAGTGTAATGTACATGCCATGTCAGTTTCAGCTTCTTAGAAATTCCATATTCTATTCTAGTGAACAATTCAAAATAGCCTTTCAAATTAAATTCTTAGCACTCTGACATTTTTCTTAGAGCGGTATTAGGTCTCCATCGATAATACTGAAGCTTATATTGAGGGATGAGTCTAGCTTGCATTTTATCCAAAAAAAAGTTCATATGACAGTGGGTTAGGGTGGGTTTAGAGATGACCACACTTACCAGAAGGAATGAAGAGAAAGAACAGAATCCAATTCCTCATCATGAAGGTACAGTTATTGGGAAGGTCGGTCAGTGTCCCAAGCTGTCTTTTAAATAGACTTTCAGTCGCATGACCATTTTGGAATTTAAATGTGATGAATAAGCATATTTTTAGGGCCAGTATTGATTTGTTCCTTAACAGACCTCTCTCCCCGGTGGGACAATAGGTGTTTGCTGTTATCTCAAATGAGATAATATTTGTTAAGTGCTTTGGAAACTTTAAAGTGTTATGTAAATGTTAGCTATTATCATTTAGCTTTATTATTATTAATATTAATTATTATATTATTAATTAAATATTATTGTTTATATCTTTCTTTTCCTGAATGTGAAATGTTTGGTCAGTTTTTCCTTTTGCATTAAAAATAGTTATCCATCCATAGTCATCTGTTATTGAAAAATGTAAAACTATTTTATTGTTTTTTAAATAATAAACAATATTTTCTCTCACTTTATGGGTAAAAAGATGTCTTAAGTGACCTCCTAAAAGTGACACAATTATAGCAGGAATATCAATAACAGGGATGAGAAAGAATACTTTTTAAAAATAAGCCCCATTCTCATTTATCTTATACCCATACGTAGTACCGTTTCATCAAACAATGTTGTAATACTCAAAACTTTACCAAATGGCTATGGAAATCAAGGGGAGCTATAATTTAATTTATTTTCAGATTACAGTGTGGCTGAGGGGAGTAGGAGTCAGAAGACCTCTGCCACCGACTAGCTCTGTGACTTTGGGCAAATTAAGTTCATTCACATCTCTGAGCCTCCGTTTCTTAAATAATAAACAAGAACAAAATATATACCAAGCAAATACAATTTGGGGAGCACTCTCGTCTGGGAGGATTAGGAATGGCCTCGCGAAGGAAGTGGTATTTGAGGTAAGTTCTGAAGAAAGATTCTAAGAGGAGAGAATCCGTTAGAATATGGAGAACTGACCTAAAGTTATGGGTATGAGAGATAGAGCACCATGTTGGAACAATGGCAAGACGGTCAGTTTTCCTGGACTTTAGAGTTTATGAAATGTCTTTCACTGAATCATCATCTATGTTGTGTGTGTGTCCCGTCCCCCCCCCCCGAAATGTGGTTATAACCCGAGGTTCTCTCCCTGGACCTCTTCTTTCTCTACAATTTCTTACTTGGTGACCACATGAGCTCCCACTGGGTTATAATCTCTATGCAGCTAATTCTCAGACCTATATATCCACTCTTAGTCTCTGCATCCAGCCCTGCATCACCAACTGCCAATGGGACATTTCCATCGGGATGACCTGTAGGCATCTCAAACTCAACATATCCCAAACAGAACATACTCTTATTTTCTCACACATTCCCCCCTTTTGTGCACATTCCTGTTTCTGTTGAGAGCCTCACCATCCTCCCAGTTCCCTAGGCTTACAACCTTGGCATGAGTTCATCTCATGTATCCAATCAGCTGCCAAGACTTTTAAAAAATGATTATACATTATTTTATATTCTTTTTCAATTATAAGCTTCACATAATAGACATTCATAGTTTCATGTACAGTCTTTTTTTCCCCTATTCTTTTTTTTTGCCAAGATTTTTTAATGAAATCTTGACAATAGCTCTCCTGTCTCCATATCTCCCCTGGCATGGTGGGCCATGAGATCACCTCTCATCGTAGCCTCCTAATTGCCCCATCCTCTACACAGCTGTCAAGCTAATTTTCCCAAAACACAGCATTTCTGCTCAATGAACTCCAGTGCCTCCCTGTTAACTCCAGGATCAAATATAAGAGAAGCCTTTCCTAACCCCCTTGTTAGTGTTTAATTCTTTCCCTAAACATCCTATAGCTATTTAGCTGTTTACATTTTGTTTCCTGCCCCCTGTCCACTCTAACTTCCATGAAGGCAGGGCCTGATGTTTTGTCTTTCTCCCCAGCACCTAGCATAGTGCCTTGTATATTCAATAAAATAAATGTTTGTTGAATTAAACTGATGGTCATTTCTCTTTAGAGATAGATTTAGATAATAATTGTACTGATGACTGTTGAAATTCAGCAGAAGGTATTACGTCCTCCTCTCTGTGTCCCTAGTAACCAAATTACAGTGTACAAATGGCACTTTTATATTCTTAATATGCTGCTTAAGGACTAGGAAGGGATTAGTAAAATTGCTCCCAGGCAACCATAATATAATTTCATCTTACCATCACACAGCCAGAGCCTGTAGAAGACATTTGCTTTTATTTCCACATTCTACTGAATTGGGACGACAGTGTCTTCCAGTCATATCATTGATTGAATCTGTGGCATTAGAAAATCCCTGGTTGATTCATCCCTGAGCTGTAAATCTTCAGCTCCAAGAATTCTGTATTTGTAAATGAAAAAATAAAAACTAGATTTACAATTCTCTATGCTGTCTTTAAGGCAAGGATCCAAGCTCTGGAGAGGACCCAAATGCTCTTTGTCTTGATAAAGGGTCGGGCATTTCAAATTATTGTTGTGAAGGGGAAAGAGAGTCACAATATATTTGTACAAAAGAGTAGCTTTGTTCCCAGTGGTCTCCTCATTGCCTCTCTAATCTCTGGAACCGCTCATTACCAGCAACATTAAGCTGTGATGGTGGAGATGCTGGTGGCAGGTGTCCATCTACTCCAGGATTGGGACAGAATATAGTGCATATAATGGGATGAGAATGAGTTTTTTTGGATGAATTTTTAGAAACGGTGCTTACTGATGCTTTTTGGTTTTACATCACAGTAAACACAATGATTTTCCCCTTAACCATATCCACCGCTTTCCTATTGAGTCCACTGAGAGGTAGCTAGATGGTACAGCAGGTTCAGTGCTGGACCTGGATTGAGGAAGGCCTGAGTTTGGATACTTATTAGCTTCAAGACCCTTAATCTGTCTGCCTCAGTTTCCTCAACTATAAAATGGGGATAATAATAGCACCTACTTCCCAGGGTTGTTTGTGAGGACCAAATGAGACATTTGTAAAGCACTTAGCACATTGTAGGCACTTGATAAATGGTTTTTTCCCTTCCTTCCTTCCTTCCTTCTTCCTTCCTTGTAACAACAAAGATATTTAAGTCAATAGATGCAGCAACTATCTTGGACACACATCCAAAGTCTTCAAGTTTCTCCTGAAAGGAGGAAAACATGTTTCCTTATCAGCTCCTCAGCAGTGACGCTATTGGTTACCATTCAACCATACCTAGATTTTAACTTATTTTTTAGACCTGTGACTTGCCATAGTTATATGAATAGAAGACTAGGCATCACCATGACCACTATCAAAGTTGGAGTAATGATGGACTGGCTTGGAGCTTCCTTTGGGACTTGCCTGGAGTGACTAGTGATAGAGAACAGTCAACACAAGTATCGTCAACAGCCACCAACTCTGACTAACTTCCAGCTGGGACTGTCTGTCATGTTGCTGTTCAGTCATTTTTCAGTCATGGCCAACTCTGTGTGACCCATTTGGGACAAAGATACCAGACTGGTTTGCCATTTTCTTCTCCAGCTTATTTTACAGATGAGGAAACTGAGGCAAACAGGGTTAAATGACTTGCCCAGGGTCACCCAGCTAGTGAGGCCAGGTTTGAACTCAGGAAGATGACTCCAAGCTCAGTGCCCTATGCACTATGGCACCACCTAGCTGCCCCTTTCTGTCGTATGCCACTAGAACAATGTAAATCAGGTACATGTTAAGTTCACACCAGTTTGTGGTCAGGGTTCAGTGTTATCAAGAGTTGAGCTTGCCATGGGACAAAATGAACTTTGTAGACACAAAAGTAGCTTTTACTGATCCTTTAGAGTTTGTGAAGGATGAAATAGAAAAATGTAATCATGCCGTTAGTATTTTCTTATCCTGTAGTGATATTCTGGGTTTCCTTTCATTCAAGTGGCACAAAGGGAATCGACCCGCTTGATACCCTCCTCCCTGCTCTCTCTCTGTCTATCATCTTGTTCTCTTCCTAACCCAGCCTTCAAAGTATGCCAAAAAATCTTTTACAGTCTGGTCATGCTATTGCCCTCTAACCTTCAGTGGCTCCCCATCATCTTGAGGACAAAATATACACTCCTTAGCTAGGTCCTTGAGATCTTCTACAATCTGCCTGCAACCTGTGCTTTGTTGGGTTTCCTGGCACCCCTTTCTATTAAGTGGTTTACCTTCTATTGCTTCTCTATGTTTTGTAAATTAATATTGTTCATTTTATTACAACAGATCTAATCTCTACCTATTGCTTCTTTTCCCTTTATACTCTGATAATATCCCTTCAACCACATACCCCCATTCTCCAGCCTTATTCCACAGGCAGCTAGATGGTGTAATGTGTTAAGTGCTCAACTTCAAGTTGGGAACACCTGAGTTGAAATTCTCCCTCAGATACTCACTCGTTGTGTGACCTGGGGTAAGTCACTTTTTTAGCCTCATCTGTAAAATGGAAGTAATGAGAGAGACAGAGACAGAGACAGAGAGAAAGAGAGACAGAGACAGAGAGCCAGACAGAGAGCCAGAGAGAGAGAGAGAAAGCACTCAGTCCTGAGGCAGCCCATTTTCTTTGGAGACTAGGTCTAAGAGGAATGAAGTTTTCTCTTGCATCAAACATTCACCAACTCCAAGAATTCCATGATTGTAAGAGGAATCTGCTTCTTTGCAATCAGATTGTAAGCTCTTTGACAGCAGGGTCTATCATGTTTTATTTTGGGTCACAGTGCTTTACATATAAAAAGCGTTTGCTAATTGTCTTGCTAAATTGAATTAAATTGTATCTGAGCCAATTTTATATCGAAGCAACGTTGTGCTATGATAGAAAAAACACTGGAACGATAGTCACCAGATCCAGCTTCTTGCCCTCTAGTTCTGCCAAGAACTAGTTAGTGGGGCTTTTGAGAAAAGCAATGAACACTGGACCTGAAGGTCCTCTTCTGTTAAGGAGAGGTTTGGCCCAGACTCCTGCTCTAGGAATAGGAATCAACTCATCACCATTATTCCTAGAAAGGACATGTCAATCAATTGCCCTACTCCAGCTACCATTTTCCCTATTAGACTATAAGCTTCTTGAAGGCAGGAATTATCGTTTGTTTTTTAATTTTTATATTCATCTCTTAGCACAGTGCCTGGTACCTAGCAAGCACTTAATCATACTTTTTCATTCATTCATTCAAAGGTCCCTCCTAACTTTGAATTTCTACGACATGGAATTTGTCTATATAGATTTTAGAACAAGAAGGGACCTTGGAAGTCATTGAGTCAAATGTTCATGTCTTACAGATGAAGAAACTGAGGGAGGTCTGGAGAGGTGAAGTGACTTGCTTATCATCACTTAGCAAATGTCCTATGAGTAATTCAATCCCAGATCTTCTTGACTCAAAGTCTATAGGAAATATTTTAAGGCACACTATGGAATCAGCTTTGAGTTGTATAAGTTGCTAAGGTGATCTCTTACAAAATTGCTGGTATAATGAAAGAAAGATTGTTGTCTCCAACATTGGCTGAATTTATTCAATAATCATGTGTCAGAAATAAATGTGAAAAAAGGGAACAGCTAGGTGGCGCAGTGGATAGAGCTCCGACCGTGAAGTCAGGAGGACCTGAGTTCAAATCCGGCCTCAGACACTTGACACTTACTAGCTATGTGACCCTGGGCAAGTCACTTAACCCTGATTGCCTCACCAAAAAGAAAAAAAAAAGGAATGTATATTAGTACTATTGTAATAGGGGTGGTGGGGAAGAGGGTTGTTAAGTAGAAATCAGCATGCTTGGCTGATGCAATCTGCCACAGGGAAGAGCCTGCTTCTGGAGGGGCATAGTGACATGCAATGTGGTCAACTTGCAGAGATTTTGAGCATGCACAGACATTCTGTAACTGGTTCCAATCTGCTAAGCATATGATGAAGAGAAGCTTTTTTGGTTGGGTGTGTCTGGAACTGGAGTGTATTCAAAAGCTCAGCCCAGATCTACTGTATGCCTTCCTGTCTGGATGAGTTCTGGTGAGAAAAGAGAGACAATCCTACAGCTCCAAGGTAGATGATTGTACTCTCCCTCTCCAAGGCTGACATGGGACTTGTAAATATGGGCCTCTATTCTTTGTTTTCTTTCCTGTTTTAAGTGAAGGAAGTTGAAGGTGACCATGACCTCATGAGCTTCAAAAGGTCATGTGAAGGAACCAACATCATGTCCAGGAGGTGAGTTCATGCCGATTTGTGTGGCCAGCCAGTCCAATAAGGAGGTCTTTGATTTTGATGTGAATCATCAGCATAGAGATGATAATTGAATCCATGGGAGCTACTAGGATCTCTAAGTCAAATAACACACAAAGAGAAGAGGAGACAGTTCAGGAGAGAGCACTGTGAGACACCCATTGTTAGCGGGAGTGACCTGGGTGGAAATCCAGCAAAGTGGATGGTGAGATAAGGAGAGATGAGATAGGCAGGAGGAGAACCAAGAAAGTTCTGTGTCCTGAAAACAATAGAGGGGGAACTCATCGGAATGGGGGCCTGAGCCAACGACATTAGAAATATACGCTCCCCAAGCTCTCATTTTGTTCAATAATATTGAATTAGATTCTCCCCTTGATCAGAAGACCACCATAGGGATGTTAACAAAAACCATGCTCACATTTTCATTTCTCTGCCCTCTTCTGGATTCCCCCTGAGGAGGACAGACAGCCCGCCTTGCTCTGAGACAATGAGGACAGAGCCATTTATAGACATTCATATAGTTTGGTGGTGGTGGTGATTCTTATTCTTGTTGCTTTGGGGTTGGGGTAGAATTCAGAACTTAGATTTCAGCAATATAAAGATCTCAAGGAATGAAAAATGCCTCAGCCGATGCAGATCAGCAATTCAGGAGCATTTTGTAGTCTTGGGAAGTTGCTAGTGAAGATTAGGGGCTTGCCTGTGACCACACAGTCAGTAGAACTCAGAAGAAGGACTCAAACCTAGTTCTTCCTAAATCCGGTGCCGGCCCTCTATCCCTCTTCTTCCTAAAGAGAAGGGTGGCCATATGTTATATTTCAGCAAAAATAAATGGCATATCTAAATATAATTAACTAAAGCGAGCAAGAACATTCATCTCTTGGCAGGTAATGTCTTTTCTGCTCTACGTGCTTCATAGTAGCCGTGATTTATTAATAAGAAACTAATCAACAAATGAGCTACAAGTATAGATTAAAAATGAACTTGGAGCTGACATACTTTCACTGACATGACCAGGGCATGGTGACATCAGGTCAGAA